TTCGAGAAGCTGATAGAGACAATATGTTAGGATATGGTTTGAGCCTAACAAGTTGTCCAGGCAATATATGTGTTCTGTGACTTTAATATGAATATGTATTGTGTGATTTTAAAGTTTAACTGCTGATTCATTGTAATGCTGAGTCATGCTGTAATTAGATAATCACTGGTTGTGAACGTATTTAAGAAAGGTACTGTAACATATTCAGTTGATGATAAGCTACCATAGTGTGTGGAGTTGCTTTCATTGTGCTATCATCGTTGGATGGATCTGCTACCATCGTGGTTTATGAACCAGAGTGAGTTTGTTATTCTAACCAACTACTGTTTGTGCGGTAAGAAGATTTTGTATCACTGGACTGATTTAACTGGCGAAGACTTGGATTGATTTAAAGATTGTGAGATTGTTTTTTCACTATAAAGTAAACTTTTGATAAACCAGTTTGCACATCTCTTATTCATTGCTCTCAGCAATGTTTCTCTGTGCTCTACACTCTGCTGTTGGTAACACAACAACAATATCCTTAACATTGGTTATGGGCCCAGAGCCAACCAGAACTAACTAGGATCGTTAAGAGCTAAACTGAGAGTTAATGTGAATAGTACAAACTGTGTTTGTGATATACAATCCAAGTGAAGATGGCACTAGAACAAGCAGCAATTTTTTTTTTAATTTGATTTATATGCCGCCCTTCTCCGGAGACTCAGGGCGGCTTACAATGCGTTAAGCAAATTTTTCCATGATAACCCGGCTGGATGGAACAAACTATGTATCCTGGTCTACAAAATGTAATCTACTCTTGCGTAGAGAAGGACTGTGGAACATAGTTAATAATCCACCAGATGTAACTGCATGGGATCCTGCTGATGAGGAAGATGCGAAGAAATTAGCTAAGTTTAACAGAGACAATGAACGAGCTCTTTGCATTATTGGACTAACACTGGGTGACCAGCAGCTTGTGGCGAAGAGTCTGCTGCTAGGTGTTGAACCAAGTTGAAGAGACTATATGTTCGTGACTCTGTGGGTGCTCATATTTATCTCACAGGGAGATTATTTAAACAACATCTTCTTAAAGGTGGAGATATGATGGCTCATTTGGAATCCATGACCAGAATTTTCCAGGAGCCTCACGAAAGGAAAAGGAACTTGTTTTCTCAGAATTACAGCAAGTTTATATAATTCTTTCTTCTTTGGACGATAGTTATGACGACTATGTTTCTTCGTTAGAGGTTTTGTCCAGAGATGAACTGACATTGGCTGGCATAACTGGTAGGTTATTGGAAGAATCCAAAAGAATACAAGAAAGGGATCAGTTGAGAGTGCAACAACCAAAAGAAGAAAAAAATGTATTCAACTGCCTATTTTGTAAAACTTTGTTTTGCTTGTGGGGCTAAAGGGCATATAGCTAAGTATTGTAAGAATAAGAAAATGCCTGTTAGGAACAATACTAGACCCAAGAAAGGTTGTAATTTAGTTATATCCAGTTCAACTACTGATGTTAATCAGGATTGTTGGGTTGTTGACAGTGGTGCTTCTCAATCTATTTCTAGAAATAGAAAAATTCCTTAACACAATATATAAATTACAAAGGGCAAAGGTAATAATGAATGGGGATATTACAGATTCTTTGCAAATAAGGAAAGCAGTACAACAAGGGTGTCTGTTGTCACCACTGTTATTTATTTTGATATTAGAAACCCTATTAAATAGAATTAGGAAAAATTGTGAGATAAAAGAATTAAAGATTAGAAGAGAGGAATATAAGGTGCAGGCCTTTGCAGATGATGTGGCATTTATTATTGAGGATCCTTTGGATTCTGGTCCAATTTTATTGCAAGAAATAGGAAGGTATGGGGAAGTAGCTAGATTTAAAATTAACAAAGGGAAAATTAAACTGTTGGTTAAAAACTTAACAACTACAGGCACCTCTTTTGTAGGGAACACTGCCATCAGTTTTCAGACCAAAAAGGGGCCCACAAGCACCTGCTGCTTTTTCTAAGCAGTCAAGTACTGGCACCTCTGATCTACCATCAGTTTTCAGACCCTTGGGGATCTGGGAGGACCTGTTGCCCCCTACACAGATGAGTATGGGCACCTCCTAACACACAGGGCTTTGCTCAGTGACTACCCAGCTGGTTACCCAAAGTTCAACTCTCTCATTCATTTTTTTTCCATTCTATTTTCACACACACTTTCCCTTTTTCCCTAAAGGTCCTGTGCTCTGGCAAGTCCCACATGCTCTCTAGACTGTTTGTCTTTCTGTGGTTAGGAAATGCACAGAGGGAGCAAGATCCAGCTGAGATTGGGAGAAGGGCCCTCTCACACACACATAGGCATACGCACATTTCCCACCCTTTTCTGAGCTTTAAAAGTTAAAATTTAGAGGTACTCACTTTCTTTCCAAGCAGCCTTTGAACTCAAAACTCAAAACCCCTTTAAAACCTTTGTTCCAAATGGCCAAAGGCCAGGAAAACTCACTCACATACTCAATGGGTCTGTGTCAGCAAGGGAGGCTTACCAGGTCAATTGGTCAGGGTAGCTTGGAGTCCCATTTTTGGGTGCCAAATTGTTGGAAGAAATGTCCATTTGGGTTCAGTTCCAAGTGGGAAGAAAGACACTGGAAACATGGAAACTGCTTGGAAAGATGGTTTAATGGTGGACAGGACCATGTGGTTTGACGTCCTGGCAAAAAAAGAGTACATGGGTGAGAGAGGGAGAGAGATCTATACCCTCTGTTGGGCTTTGAACTTGCTCCCTGTGGCAAGAAATGTATCCTGATTGGTTGTCAGACTCCCATGGGGCTATGCAGGGGTAACTTTGTAGTGCCAGCTCCACTGTGCTGGCTGGCCAGAGCTGCCATTCAGTGGGGACCCATCGCCCTGAAGCCTCCCACCAGCTGCCAGGCCAGTCGTCAATCCAGAACCAGCCCAAAAGCCACCATCACACTGGGAGCCTTCAGCCATGCTGTCAAGCCAAATCTCATGTCTCCAGGCAGCGGAGCTGCAGCGGAGACACCCGGAAGAACCCGCCGGCCATGCACATGCTGGGAGTAGGCCGTGCAGCCATCAAACAGCTGAGAGATGGTTGCACAGCAATGACATCATTGAGACAGCACGGCAGCAACGAAGAGGCATCCGTTGCTCTCCTAGGCGTTCTGGACCTCTGTTGAGGACTGGCCATTCCATTGAGGACCAGCCCTCCCTTAAGGACTCCATTGAGACTGGGGGCTGGGAAGTCTGGACCTGAAGCAGGTGGATGATGGCTTCTTCTCACTTCCAGATCACATGGGGGGGAGCAGCACGCGTGAGCGGATAGGGCAATGTTTAGTGTTTAAAAGATGGTGGGGAGCACGGGCAAGTAGCTCTAAAAAGATATTCCTTTTACAATTGTTAGTGCATGCTAGAAGGGAAGTAAAGCAGGCAGTAACAAACCAGGTTGGTGTTTGGTTGTGTTCCTTTCTTTTTCTTTTCTTTTGAAACCTGACATGTAGGTTGTCTTGAGTCCCAAGCTTGGTTGACTCTTGCTGGATGATGGTAATAAAGGGGCTTTGGGCAATTTCTATTATGGCTTAATGGCTTTGTCCTGGTTTGGATCTTGAGTAAGGGCTAATCCTATCAGCCTGGAGCTGAAGGTCTTTTGTGTTGTAGATAAACTGGCCCAGCCTTTCTAGAGCTATTAACAAAGATGGGGCTGCTTTCCAAGAGCTTTTTTCTCCTTTTCTCATCCAGGGAGATATAATATTCTGCTTTTTAAATATTTCCTAGAATACTTCATTCTTCTAGGAGAGGGGTGGGTGCTAGCCTTCTACATTTGTTAACAGCTAGATTTCATTTTAACCTGCAACAAGCCTTTTTATATTGCAGCTTCACAAATCTGGTGTGAATTTTCTCTTGCTTCTAAATGTTTTAACATTGAACCTGACTTTTTTCTTTTCAAGTAGATAGAGTAAAAGTAGTACATAAATGAGGGATTATCACAAAGCCCTTGGGATTTTGGTTAAAATGAGAAATTGAAAAACTATTCTGGAAGAAGACAAGGACAAATAATGATGGAATAGTGCTAAGAATACTTCTTGTATGGAATTGACTCTACATTGTCTTTATTTTGACCTGCTGCTGCATACACAGAGAATCCCAAAAAAGGTTCATTTTTCTCTTCTGATATTCTCACTTCAGCACTGGAGAGTCACTGATCAATGTTCTTTATGCTGGCTATTGATCATAATAAAGCTTTTGTTTAAAAGCAAGCTATTTTCTGGCCGATCTTCCTTATTTCCAGGATAATCATTGTTTGCTTGTTTCTCTGTTCCATTCCAGCATCTGATAAAGTGGGGAGGGGGACCAATATTAAGTAGGATACATCAAACATTTGGGGAAATGGAATGACTGGGAAGACCATCTCCATAGGCAGCTGGTACAAATGCAAAGGTGCAAAAATGATGATATGTACAGTATATCACAGCAAAGCCTGGGTTTTTTAAATTCAAAATAGCTGATGGCTACCAGTATCTCAATCTACCAGAAAGTCAAATAATTTTTTCCTCAATTAGCTTTTTGAGCACGGCAAAATGTATGCCAAAAAGTGATATGAAAAGATTTTCCACTACGTTTCTCCCTACTTTACTAGTTTAAATACTCACTTTAGTATTTTAACTTTACCCCAGTTTAAATACTAACTCAAGCTAGTCATTATGTGCACCTGAAAAAGAATGCAGTTCAACTATGTCTTTTAATAAAATTTGCTATTAGAGTCCTAGTCTTCTTTTTTTTTTTTACCTCCTTGACTAATAGAGCTCCCTTCCAATATTGTTTGGATAGTACCTAGAATTATACAAACATTTAGGATTAAATCAACCATGACCCTGAGCATATTATAAACACTTATATAAACATTAATAATTATGAGACATGCGAAGTATTTTTAAATTTTATGAATTTACTGTGAGAATATCTACATTTAAATATTGATAGGAATACTTTAAGAAAACTCCATTAATTTTTTAATAAGTCTAACTCACGATCAGAATCATCATTATCATTATTACAATATCCATAACAAACAGATCAATGCATTGTTTTCAATTACTTTTTAAACTGAAATAAGATCAGTTTTTTGCCATAGCAACTGTAAAAATTCTCTGAACTATGGATGTGAATAGTTTCTCTATTTATTCCTTCCACTTCAAAAACCTATAAATAAACGTAATAATTTTTTTTCAGAACCAGTGTTTAATATTACAGTTAACAATTTTAGGAAATGGAAAAAGTTATACAAAGTCTGCATTGATATAATATTAATTTTGTTCTATTATTTAATTGTTGTAATTTAATATCCTAGTATCAAAAATTTACTTCAATGCTATTAATCGCTACTAACTGAAATAAAAACCAAACAAAACCAAGCAAACTTTTGCATTAGATAAACCAAACTTGAAACATTAATGTATGAGAAAAGAATATAGCCTATTACACAACCTATATTTATTATCACATTTTAACACTTTATGTATGGAGTTAAAATTTAAATGAAATTACTACAAAGAAAAATATATTCCGGGTTGTGTTCACTAGAGAGACATTTATTTATTTTTCTTTCACTATCTCTTTTTCTCCAAACAATGGTGGGATTATCAGCTCCCCATTATCAAATTCTCCTCCTGTTAAAGGGCCTGTTGAGAAGAAGGGATAAAATTTCCCAGAAGCAACATGGAGAAAGGTATATATTTTATGTTGTCTCTGAGCATCATAAAAAGAAATTTCCTGGCTTTTCAAATTTAGGAATATCCCTATTCTTGTTAGTTTATCTGCTATATTCAGGTGTGTCGAGGGGTCTGTCCGAGCCCAGTAATTTTTTCTATTATCACGCCCTATGACCCAATAGCCATTCTGGGGAGACAATGTGATCCTCCCTGTTCTAGGAGCAGATTCAGATGCAACGCCTACATCCCACATATTTTTCTGGCCAACCTCCACTTCCCAGTAATAGCTTCCTTCAGAAAATCCCTGTTCTGCCAAGACAAATGTGTAAGACTCAAATCTCTGTTTACTTTTAGAGACATGACAAATATTTCCAGTGTCTCTCACACGTTTCCTATCTTTAGACACTTCCAGTCTTGGATTAGCTGTTTTGGGATCCAAGGTAAGATCAGCTGCAAAGAAAAGAAAATTTCTTAATTAAGATTTGTAGACAAAGGAGCAGGTCTTTTCATCACTCTCTGAAAATATAGATATCTATGGTGGACAATGTGGACTGTATTACTTTAGATATAAATTGGAAAATTACTTTAGGGATGCAGCTGCCTCAAAAAGTAGCTTGTAGGCTATAAAGCAGCTTTTATGAATTACTTCCAAAAAAGGTACAGTGCCCTAACAGAAACTATTAATAACTTAGAATCAAAGTATACATCATATGTTTGAGATTTTATGTGTGAGTAGCAGGAACACTGCAGTAGAACATTACTATAATAGGTGATATGTCTTGATAATTCATTTAACATAGAGATCCATGAATCATTCCATTTTATTTATTTCATATGAATACATGAAAAGAGTAAGTAAAAAGGAATATTAGGACAGGGATGGTAGGCACACTGGTGCATTTATGCACGCTCCTTACAGACCTCTTGGGAATGGGGTGAGGTCAAGTGTAGACAGTTTAAGGTTAAAGTTTTGGGGGTTTAGGGAAGAAACTACAGAGTCAGGTAGTGCATTCCAGGCATTGACCACTCTGTTACTGAAGTCATATTTTCTGCAATCGAGTTTAGAGTGGTTTACCTTGAGTTTGTATCTATTATTTGCTTGTGTATTGTTGTGGTTGAAGCTGAAGTAGTTATTGACAGGAAGGACATTGTGGCAGATAATTTTATGTACTATGCTTAGGTCAGACTGAAGTTGGCATAGTTCTAAGTTGTCTAAGCCCAAAATTTGAAGTCTGGGGGCATAAGGTATTTTATTTATTATTTTATTTTATTTTATTAAAGATAATAAAACAACAAATCACTAAGCACCTAGAAGCAAACCAAGTAATAACTAAAAGCCAACATGGGTTTGTCAAAAAAGATCGTGCCAGACTAATCTTATTGCATTCTTTGACAAAGTGACAAAATTAATGGACCAGAGGAATACTGTCGATATAATTTACTTGGACTTCAGTAAAGCATTTGATAAAGTAGACCATAACCTACTACTAGATAAAATAGAAAAATGTGGGTTAGATAGCATCACCACCAGATGGATTCATAACTGGCTGACCAACCACACTCAATGTATAGTCCTCAATGGAACTGCATCTACATGGAGAAAAGTATACAGTGGAGAACCCCAGGGCTCTGTTTTAAGCCCAGTGTTCTTCAACATCTTCATCAATGACTTGGATGAGGGGATAGATGGGGAACTCATCAAATTTGCAGATGACACCAAGCTGGCAGGAATAGCCAACACTCCAGAAGATAGGCACAAGATACAGAAGGATCTTGACAGACTTGAACATTGGGCTCTATCTAACAAAATGAAATTCAACAGTGAGAAAAGCAAGGTTCTACATTTAGGGAAAAAAAACAAAATGCACAGGTACCGTATATGTGATACCTTACTCAATAGTAGTAACTGTGAGAGGGATCTTGGAGTCCTAGTGGACAACCATTTAGATATGAGCCAGCAGTATGCAGCAGCTGCCAAAAAAGCCAACAGAGGTCTGGGCTGCATAAACAGATGGATAGAATCAAGATCATGTGAACTGTTAATACCACTTTATAATGCCTTGGTAAGGCTACACTTGGAATACTGCATTCAGTTTTGGTTGCCACAATTTTAAAAAGATGTTGAGACTCTAGAAAGAGTGCAGAGAAGAGCAACAAAGATGATTAGGGGACTGGAGGCTAAAACATATAAAGAACAGTTGCAGGAACTGGGTATATCTAGTTTAATGAAAAGAAGGACTAGGGGAGACATGATAGCAGTGTTCCAATATCTCAGGGGTTGCCACAAAAAAGGAAGTCAAACTATTCTTCAAAGCATCTGAGGTTAGAACAAGAAGCAATGGGTGGAAACTAATCAAGGAGAGAAGCAATTTAGAACTAAAGAGAAATTTCCTGACAGTTAGAACAATTAGTAAGTGGAACAACTTGCCTACAGAAGTTGTGAATGCTCCAACATTGGAAATTTTTAAGAAGATGTTGGATAACCATTTGTTTGAAGTGGTGTAGGGTTTCCTGCCTGGGCAGGGGGGTGGACTAGAAGACCTCCAAGGTCCCTTACAACTCTGTTATTCTAACTTCTAAAATTGCAGTTAGAGGATGGAGGTTAGAGGAATGGTTAGAGGAATATTTATTTTTTTATTTTATTTTATTTTATTAAACTTGTATGCCGCCCTCTCTCCCAAAGGTCTCAGGGTGGCTCACAACGATAAAAAACACATAAAATTCAGTATTCAAATTTAAAAGCCAATAAAATCCCCTTTAAAAATCCAGCCAGGGCAAATAGCCATGTTTTGAGGTCATGGCGGAAAGAGCGAAGGTCAGGGACCATCCGGAGCTCCAGGGGGAGCTGATTCCACAGAGTACGCGTGCCCAAAGAGAAGGCCCACTCCCTGGGAGTCACCAGCTGACACTGTCTGGCTGACAGGACCCCAAGGAGGCCCTCCCTATGACAGTGCACCTGGCAATGGGGAGCTGTTGCTGGCCATAGATGGTCCACCAGGTACCCCGGGCCTAAGCCATATTTCACGCACAAAGTGTGCTGTTCAGTATTCATGTCTCCAACCTTCTTATACCTTTCTAATTATTTTATTTTTTTCTTATTGATTACATGGATATAGCCAATGGTGGGATTTAGCAGGTTCACACCTATTTGGGAGAACCATTTGTTAACTTTTGGAGCAGTTTGGAAAACCAGTTGTTGGAAGAAATCTCCTTTTGTTTTTTCCACTTTAAAAAGCTAATCCTGTAAGAAAGGCAGGAGGGAAACATTCTGGTGTTGTTTCTAGCCTATTCCTTATCTCTATTGCCCTGCTTACAGAAACTGGCTCTCAGTTAAACCTTATTACATTGTAACATTGTAAAGGTTCTTGGCAGTACACTCAGACTTTCTGTCACCTGAGCTTCTCTGGAGGGTTTTTTTTTTTTTTTGCTGGTACTTTTCTTTTCTTTATTAGGGGTTTGACTTTCTTAAAGGGGAAGGGTTGTTTTAAACTTTTTACACTGGTTTAGTGAATCCTGGCACTGTCCTTTTGCATCTCTGGTACCATGCCTGATTTGTAACTCCAGCTTGCAGATATTTCTAATCTAATGATTGGTATTTAGGGCAGCTTTTTGCAAGCAAAGAAGCTTTTCTATTTTTCTACAGGTAATCCTTACAACAGTTCATTTAGTAACCATACAAAGTTACAATGGCACTGAAAAAAGTCACTTATGACCATTTTTTATACTTACGACTGTTGAAGCATCCCCACAATCATGAGTGGCTGAGCGAGGTGAAGTATCCCTCGATGTGAGTGACATCAAGTTGGCCATGCCCACCCAGTCACATGTCCACCCAGCCAGGCCTACCCAGTTGGTCATTAGTGCAGAGAACTAGTTGTTAAATTATTTGAATCCCAACATTGTATATAGCATTGTATTTTTTAAAGCAAAAATTGTTGTTGCAGATATGTTATCCTAATTAGCACTAACTTTTTATTTGACATGTTTATGTTCTGAGAATCAATTGATGCACCTCAGTGGTCCAAATTCTTTCAGACAATAAAACAATAGTTAAAGCATTTTTCTAAAGTTTTGCACTGATTGAAAATCTAATGGCAATTTCTTTCTATGCAAAAATGATGCTTAACCTAAATGACTATTTGGGAAGCATATCTGAAAATTTGCTTTATGAAAATAAAATCCAGATATTGCTTGCAAAATTCAGCACAGATAAAAAAAATGTGCTTCCACAAGATGTAAACTATGATATAGGATTACCATAAATGAGGATTGAATTGGTTCGTGTAGAATGGCTCTATTAGTAATGACTTAATATTTTCAAATTCTGACATTGAATCCTTCTTCCTCCTTTAGGCAGGAGGAATGACAATTATGTTGGCAAAAGAAAAGTAAACAACAATAATATCAGTAATTATTACTAATCAATGCTTCACATTCTGATGCTATTTTATGCAGAATTCTTTTTTATTTTTTGATTGGTTTTTTTAGAATGCAAACATGAACACATCTCTCATCAGCCTTATTATCTATCTTTTCCCATCTTTTTCCATGAACTCTTCATGCTTCTCAATTCTCACTCCTCTCTCATATGCCTTTATTTTCTTTCTTCACTTTTCCTTCACTGTTCACCATTTTTATCTCCCCTTATTAAATTTTATCCAATTATTCTCACCTTTGCAGGAATGAGTAACTTGCAACTGGAATTCTGTGAATAAAAAAATAGAAAAAGCTAAGTATAGAAAAATATAATTCTTTTCTGATAATAATCCCCTTAAGAGAAATACTTTTTGTCTTACTTCTTTTTAAAAAGATTTTGTTTTCCCTCCAGTTTTCCCCATCAATTTTTTATGTGGACAGAACACTTTATAAAGCAACATTCCTTCATGAATTTTTCTTCTTTCTAGATTTATTTATGTAGGCTTAATTCTCTCCACATTTATTCACATCTAGATCTATGGAGAACTGCTTTGTTCTCCCTCAAGGTTTGTTTTCTCCAGTTATAGCCAGTTATAACTGACTCTGAAAGATATTGTCAGGTCTCAGATATTTCTGCAGGGACACTGGCATTTTGGTGGGAGGAAGAAGGGAGGAGTGGAGTGATCTATATATGAAGTTTCTGTTTCTAGTTTCTGTTTCCTACATTACTGTGCTAATCTCTATATGAAGTTTTTATTTCTCTGCAATGATGTAATGTGGGAGGAGTTTGGCTAACATTACTTTAAATAACTGGTCTTAAGTGAGAAGCTTCCGTTCTTGCCTAGATCTCTTGTTATCACAAACTTTCAATAAAAGCTTCTTTTGGGACAACAGCAGTTTCAAGCAGTTCCTGTTTTCTTGAGAAGATTGGAAAGGCAAGACCTTACATTAGGCAAGAACTCAAAACTGGTCAAAGAGAAAAAGGATGGCTTGTTATGTTTATGTGTAGATTATAGGAATTTAAATGCTATTTGCAAGGAAAATCTTTATCCCCTACCCTTAATGAAGGACATGCTGGGCCATCTGGTGAAGGGGGAAATTTTTTCTAAACTAGACTTATGAGAGGCTTATTACCAGATCAGGGTCCAAGAAAATGATAAATGGAAAACAGTGTTTAACTGTCTGCTAGGATGTTTTCAGTTCAAGGTTTTGCCATTCAGACTCCAAGGAACTCCCACTGTTTTCATGCAGCTAATTAATGAGGTGCTGCATGAGCACTTGTATAAGGTAGTTTTGGTTTATCTTGATGATATATTGATTTATACTGAAACTAAGACTCAACATGTTAAATTGGTGCGGGATGTTTTGAAGAAATTAAGGGCAGCTAAATTGTTTGCCAAACTCTACAAATGTGATTTTTACCAAGATAAAATAGATTACCTAAGGTACAGAATCTCTCATCAGGGGGTGGAAATGGACCCGCAAAAGTCAGAGCAGTCGTTGAGTGGGAAACCCCATGTACTTGCAAACAATTGCAGAGCTTCCTTGGGTTCACAACCTTTATAGGCAGTTTATCCCCTCTTTTGCCCAAATAGCATTGCCAATTACAAATCTGTTAAAAACCAAGGGGGTAGATAAACCAAAACCTAGTCAACCACTAAACTGGAATATGGACTGCCAAACAACATTTGAAAAACTGAAAGAACTCTTTGGCTGAACCTGTATTAAAACACCCAGACCCAGAGAAACCATATGTAATCCAGGCCAATGCCAGCAATGTGGCAGTCAGTGCTGTTTTACTCCAAGAGAATGAAGAAGGCAAATTACAACCATGTGCATACACCTCTAGGAAGTTAACTGAAACTGAACAGAGATGGGCAATATGGAAAAAGGAGGCTTTTGCAATTAGGTGGGAACTCAAACTTGGAGACTTTTCTTGGAAGCATTCAAAACCCCACAGAAAATGTCTATAAAACAAGTCTGGTGGGCTCAGTACTTCCAACACTTTAATTTCACATTGAAGTATTTACCAGAAATGAAAAACTTTTTGGTAAATGCCTTGTCCAGACTATCGCAACAGTGTCAAGGTGGAAGTAATTAAGCCAATGATCCCAACCTCCCAATTAGCAGCTAAGGTCAACACATGTTCTCAGATGAAGAACAACCCCTCCATTTTAGACAATGCTACCACCACAGATTTCAAAAAAGCTTAAAAACGGATAAGTGGTTTAGTGCCAATAAACATACTTGCATAATAAGAAAGGGGTTAGCTTGGATGGGAAATAAAGTGTATGTCCCAGCTAGGGAAAGACTGAAAATTATGCAAGCTTGTCACAACTCCAAATTATCTGGTCACTTTGATTTTGTAAAAACATTACATTTACTGAATCGGCACTTCTGGTGGCCCTCATTGAAAAAGGACATAGAAAGTTATGTAGTAAGCAGCCCCATTTGCACTGCCGCTAAATGCAGCCAAGGGAAAAACCCCAGTCTACTATAGCTGGGGGCTGACCCTTCAGCACTAAAGATATCTTTTTAGTGCTGAAGGGTCTCTCTCCATGGATTTCATTGTTGAATTACCCAAGAGTTCTGAAAACACAGTGATCAGGACTGTCACAGATCTTTTCTCAAAATAGGTTCATTTCATCCCATGCCAAAAAATCCCAACAGCTAAACCTTTGGCTATACTGTTTTTGGTCCACTCTTACCACTTGCATGGAGCCCACAACATATTATTTCAGACAGAGTGGTCCAATTCACTTCCAAGTTTTGGAAAGCTTTTTTGAATCTACTTGGGGCTGAGCAGGGACTTGGTTCTAGTCATCCATCATCCATGGACAAATGGAGCCATGAAACAAACGAACTCAGTTCTGGAACAGTTCCTGTGCTGTTTTATTAATTACCAGCAGCACAATTGTACCGAAATACTGCCTTTTGCACAAGTAGTCTATAATAATGGAAAAGAGATGATGTAGTTCCCATCTTCAAAAAAAGGGGGGGGGAATAGAACCAGGAACCTACAGACCTATCAGCCTGACCTCAATACCAGGGAAGATTCTGGAAAAGACAATCAAGCAATGAATCAGCGAACACCTAGAAGCAAACAAAGTAATAACCAAACGCCAATGTGTTTCTCAAAAACAGATCATGCCAGACTAATCTTATTGCATTCTTTGACAAAGTGACAAAATTAATGTACCAGAGGAATACTGTCGATATAATTTACATGGACATCAGTAAGGCATTTGATAAAGTACATAACCTACTGCTAGATAAAGTAGAAAAATGTGGGTTAGACAGCATCACTACCAGATGGATTCATAACTGGCTGACCAAGTGCACTCAACGTGTAGTCCTCAATGGAACTGCATCTACATGGAGAAAATTATAAAGTGGAATACCCAAGGCTCTCTTCTAGGCCAGTACTCTTCAACATCTTCATCAATGACTTGGAAGAGGGGATAGATGGGGAACATCAAATTTACAGATGACACCAAGCTGGCAGGAATAGCCAACACTCTCCAGAAGATAGGCATAAGATGCAAAAGGATCTTGACGATTTGAACATTGGATGCTATTTAACAAAATGAAATTCAATGGTGAAAAAAGTAAAGTTCTACATTTAGGCAAGAAAAAACAAAATGCACAGGTGCAGTGTATGTTGTACCTCACTCAATAGTAGTAACTATGAGAAAGATCTTGGAGTCCTAGTGGGCAACCATTTAAATATGAGCCAGCAATATGCAACAGCTGCCAAAAAAGTCAACACAGTTCTAGGCTGCATAAACATAAGGATAGAATCAAGATCATGTGAAATGTTCAGCTAGGTTACTGATTGGTCAATATTGGAAAAGGGTTGATATGCCTACAATTCAAGAATGGACTTTGAAGATGGCCAGTTTTGCAGAAATGGCGAAGATATCAGCATACTTAAAAGACCAGACTCAAGAGACTTATGTATGGGAGTGGAAGAAATGGATAGATTATGTGCAGAATAAATACCAAACTAGGAAGTACCAGATAGCTTTTAGCTAAATGTTGTGTAGAAATGTATAGTTTATAGGGGGAAAATAGCTTATTGTTATGTAGAAATGTATAGTGCACAGGGAGGAAAAGAGGGTTGGAAAAGTATGATATAATATAATGTGGATGGATTTCACCTTGGGGAAGTCATGGGGAGGGAGGGGATGGGGGAATAAGGGAGGGATGGGGGGAAATGGGGGAAATTGATGTTTGTAAAACTTTTTCAATAAAAAAAAAATCATGTGAAGTGTTAATATCACTTTATACTGCCTTGGTAAGGCCACACTTGGAATACTGCATTCAGTTTGGGTCACCACAATGTAAAAAAGATGTGGAGACTCTAGAAAGAGTGCAGAGAAGAACAACAAAGATGATTAGGGGACTGGAGGCTAAAACAAATGAAGTATAGTTGCAGAAACTGGTTATGTCTAGTTTAATGAAAAGAATGACTAGGGGAGACATGATAGCAGTGTTCCAACAACTCAGAGGCTGCCACAAAGAAGAGGGAGTCAAGCTATTATCCAAAGCACCTGAGGGTAGGACAAGAACCAATAGGTGGAAACTAATCAAGAACAAAAGCAACATAGACTAAGGAGAAATTTCCTGACAGTTAGAACAATTAATCAGTGGAATAACTTGCCTCAGAAGTTAAGAATGCCCCAACACTGGAAGTTTTTAAGAAGACGTTGGATAACTATTTGTCTGAAGAGTTGCAGACTTTCATGCCTAAGCAGAGAATGGACTAGAAGACCTCCAAGGTCCCTTCCACCTATGTTATTTGTTCTATTCTGTTCTAACTCTGTTCTGTTCTATTCTATTCCATTCTAAATAGGGATTTCTCATACCATCTTCTTCCCTTAAGAGAGCTCAAAAGAAAAAAACAGAGAAATCAACAATTATTATATGAATAAAGCAAATCAAAATAATTACCTCAAAAAAAAACCTTAACTCTATAGCGATTTGATTTACATTTTGAATTGGATTACTTTCATTGTATGCAAAAATCCTTGTAAGATTTATCGTTTCCTTTTCAGTTTACTAATCGTTTAAATCCTCCCATATTTTCTAGTTGGATTGATTTGGATTACATTGGTTGGTCTTCTATCCTGAAGCTTTCTATGGTTTATCCTTAGATGGGGTAAGGGTGAAGGGTGGCAATCCATGCACAGAAATAATAAAACTTAATTTAATCATAGATCCATTTATGTATTGAGTGATCCAATAGTGACATCACCTTGCTTAGAAATTTCAAGAACAAATGCATGGAGTTTGTCTACTCATGCAAAAGTAGAGCCTTCTGCAAAGAAATAGTTAATTGATTAAATCTAAATTGAAGATGCCAATAGCTTTTACGGGACTTACCATCTTCTTCCCTTAAGCGGGCTGAAAAGAAAAACAGAGAAATCAACAATTATTATATGAATCAAGCAAATCAAAATAATTACCTCAAGAAAAAGCCTATTTCTATTGCGATTTGATTTACATTTTGAATTGGGATCACTTTCATTGTGCACAAAAATCCTTGTACGATTTATCATTTCCTTTTCAGTTTACTAATCGTTTGAATCCTCCCATATTTTTACACTCCTAAAATCTATATCTGTCTATACGTCTTCAACCAGAAATCTAACTTTCTGATTGCCCATCTTTTCAAATATCATATACAATCCAGTATGTCATCTTTTCAATATTATATGCAACCTTTTTGTTAATCTCACAAAGCAAAATGAAATGCCCCCCTCAGAGGTCAACTTGGAGGGCAAGGGGGAAGTGGAAAAGGGGAAAAGGGGGAGGGGTTTCGGACCATCAGACAGGAAGGCACGCCAGGACTGAGGATGATGCTGAAGGATAACGATAAAACATGTAGCTAAATTATGAACTACTCCACTGTTTCTCAACCTTCAAAACGCCAAGTCAGTTCCCCATTATTCCACTGACAGAGATTCTGTTGCTCCTTCATTATCTTACCTCCATCCCCTCATGTCCTGTGAATATGTATGTGAAAAGAAGAAGGCCAAATGTGCTACAACTCCAGTTGGCAATGCTACCTTCACTGTGTGTCATGCTCAGTATTGTCAAGGCATTTTAATTTTTTAATACTTTTATTCTTTTTCAAATACATTTTGTCAGTGAATTTTATAGATTAAAAAATTACTGAAATATTGAGAATCTTCAGCATACTTACCCACTTTTGACGTTAGCTGATCTGCAAAGGAAAGTACAAACATTTTACACATAGCACACATTTCAAAGTAAATAAGAATTTATCTTGCATGAAAAGCAAGCAGGGCTGATTGAGTGGAGAAATGTAAAACTTTGGTTAAGGAGACTTACTCTTTTCTGTGAAATATGCAACGTTTTCACCAAATACAGGAATCTGCAATGCTACTCTCTACCCTTCTACTGTTTTGTAATTTTCATATGAAATTTGTCATTTCTTTCCCTTATAACTAATTTAAGATCAATTGTATCCTTTTCTAGTTGGATTGATTTGGATTACATTGTTTGGTGTTATATCCTGAAGCTTTCTATGGTTTATCCTTAAAGGGTAAGGGTGAAGGGTGGGCAATCCATGCACAGAAATAATAAAAGTTAATTTAATCATAGATCCATTTACGTACTGAGTGATCCAATAGCGACATCACCTTGCTTAGAAATTTTCATGAACAAATGCATGAAGTTTGTCTACTTATGCAAAAGTAAGAGCCTTCTGCAAAGAAATAGTTAATAGATTAAATCCAAATTGAAGATGCCAATAGCTTTTACGGGACTTACCATCTTCTTCCCTTAAGACAGCTGAAAAGAAAAAGAGAGTAATCAACAATTATTATATGAATCAAGCAAATCAAAATAATTACCTCAAGAAAAAGCCTATTTCTATTGCGATTTGATTTGCATTTTGAATTGGGATCACTTTAATTGTACACAAAAATCCTTGTACGATTTATCATTTCCTTTTCAGTTTACTAATCGTTTAAATCCTCCCATATTTTTATACATTCCTAAAATCTATATCTGTCTATACGTCTTCAACCAGATTCTAACTTTCTGATTGCCCATCTTTTCAAATGTCATATATACAATCCAGTATGTCATCTTTTCAAATATTATATACAACCTTTTTGTTAAGCTCACAAAGCAGAATGAAATGCCCCCCTCAGAGGTCGATTTGGTGGGCACAGGGGAAGTGGAGGAGGAGGAGGGGTGGAGTTGGCACGGTCCGACAGGAAGGCACGCCAGGGCTTAGGACGATGATTAAGGATAACGACGGAACATGTAGATAAATTATGAACTACTCCACTGTTTCTCAACCTTCAAAACTCCAAGTCAGTTCCCAAGATTCCACTGACAGAGAACCTGTTGCTCCTTCGTTACCTTAGCTCCATCCCTCATGTGCTGTGAACATGTATGCGAAAAGAAGACGGCCAAATGTGCTACAACTCCAGTTGGCAATGCTACCTTCACTGTGTGGTCATGCTCAGTATTGTTAAGGCATTTTAATTTTTTAATACTTTTATTCTTTTTCAAATACATTTTGTCGTGAATTAGGTAGGTTAATTACAAAATTACTGAAATATTGAGAATCTTCAGCATACTTACCCACTTTTGTCTTTAACTGATCTGCAAAGGAAAGTAGAATCATTTTACACATAGTACATGTTTCAAAATAAATAAGAATTTATCTTGCATGAAAAGCAAAAAGGCTGATTAAGTGGAGAAATGTAAAACTTTGGTTAAGGAGACTTACTTTTTCTGAGAAATATACAATATTTCACCAAATATAGAGATCTGCAATGCTGCTCTCCACCCTTCTATTGCTTTGCAATTGTCATATAAAATTTGTCATTTCTTTTCCTTATAACTAATTTAAGATCAAATTGTATCCTTTTCTACTTGGATTGATTTGGATTACATTGGTTGGTTTTATATCCTGAAGCTTTCTGTGGTTTATCCTTAGATGGGGTACGGGTGAAGGGTGGCAATCCATGCACAGAAATAACAAAAGTTAATTTAATCATAGATCCATTACATATTGAATGATCCAATACTGGCATCAACTTTCTTAGAAATTTCATTTAGAAATGCATGTAGTTTGTCTACTTATACCAAAGAAAGAGCCTTCTGCAAAGAATAGTTAATTGATTACATCCAAATTGAAGATGTCAATTGCTTTTATTGGAAAAGAAAATCAACAATTATTATATGAGTAAAGCAAATCAAAATAATTACCTCAAGAAAAAGCCTAACTCTATAGGATTTGATTTACATTTTGAATTGGGATTACTTTCATTGTACGCAAAAATCCTTGTAAGATTTTCATTTTCTTATCAGCTTACTACTCATTTAAATCTTCCCAAATTTTTACATTCCTAAAATCTGTATCTCTCTATAGGTCTTCAACCAGAATCTAATTTTTAATACTTTTATTCTTTTCAAATACATTTTGTCAGTGAATTTTGTAGGTTAATTACAAAATTACTGAAATATTGAGGAATCTTCAGCATACTTACCCACTTTTGTCTTTAACTGATCTGCAAAGGAAAGTAGAATCATTTTACACATAGCACACATTTCAAGTAAAAAAGAATTTTTTTTTTTCATTTTATTGAATAAAGAATATATTACATTTCAAACTCTACAGTTCGGCAACATGAAGTCATCTTGTATATTTACATATATGGAATCTAATCAATTATCTAGGTATTATACAATTTATACGTAAATTTTGTAAAATTGAACACATAATACAAGAATAATAATAGATTAATTAATAATTGTACATTGTCCTTGTGAGTGTTAACTTTTGCATTTATTTTTCAACCACCTATACCAGAGATCCTAGATGGTATAGAATTCTAATCTTCCTTTCCATTTAAGGAGACTTACTCTTTTCTGTGAAATATACAATATTTCACCAAATACACGGATCTGCAACGCTGCTCTCCACCCTTCTATTATTTTGTAATTTTCATATAAAATTTGTCATTTCTTTCCCTTATAACTAATTTAAGATCAAATTGTATCCTTTTCTAGTTGGATTGATTTGGATTACATTGGTTGGTCTTATAGTCTGAAGCTTTCTGTGGTTTATCCCTGGGGTAAGGGTGAAGGGTGGCAATCCATGCACAGAAATAATAAAACTTAATTTAATCATAGATCCATTTACGTACTGAATGATCCAATAGTGACATCACCTTGCTTAGAAATTTCACAAAGAAATGCATGGAGTTTGTCTACTTATGCCAAAGTAAGAGCCTTCTGCAAAGAAATAGTTAATTGATTAAATCCAAATTGAAGATGCCAATAGCTTTTACTGGACTTACCATCTTCTTCCCTTAAGAGAGCTGAAAAGAAAAACAGAGAAATCAACAATTATTATATGAATAAAGCAAATCAAATAATTATCTGAAGAAGAAGCCTAACTCTATAGCGATTTGATTTACATTTTTTTTATTGAAAAAGTTTTCAAATACAAATTTTTCCCCCTTTTTTCCCCTCTCCCTCCCCCTCCCTAACCCCCCCTCCCCACCCATCCCCCCCTGTGACTTCTTCATAACAAAAAAAAAAAAACCTAATTCATAACAGATTACTTACTCCCTCCTCTAGATATTGACCTTTACTTACTAAAAATATTATTAATATTATAACATCCCCCTTTATCCATACATTTCAGAAAAGAGAAAAGAAAGGGAAAAAAAAGAAAAAAAAAGACATTATACTATGACATTATAAAATAACTTCTCCACTTTAAAACTATACAATAAGTCCTACTTTAACATTTAATCTTCTATATATTACTATAACATTTCAAAGCGGCCTTCCCCATAAAATCTAGTTTAACATTTATTCCACTCTATCCATTTCCTCCACTCCCCTAAATATATCACTTAAAAATCCCTTTTCTTAGACTAATCAATCTACTAGCTTATTCATCCACTATCATGCAAAATTACCATACACAACATTTCTTAATATCTTTGATTCACTGCCCACACTACTTAAAAATATATGTCTATATTTTCCATTATATCTAAATAAAAAAAAAGAAAAGACAATGACTTTAAATTTATAATCCATATAGTATCTTCTTTAAGGTCTTTCCACTGGATTGGTAGAACCAACATCCATAATCGGGTAACATAGCTTGCTGGTGCAACAGTTTATTCAGGATCTTCAATCATATCTGCCCCCATCAGTAGTAAATATCTTCTTATATGTATAAAAGTAAAAACAACCACCCGAGTGACATTATAATTATATTCCATATAGTAATAATTGTGGGTTTCATCAGGATTATTAATTCCCATCATCGTAGTGGGTAACAACCCGATCTTCTGCATGCCCCAGCATCATTCTCTTGCCTTGTGATTCAAGATAATATAATATGTTTATCAACACAAAAATGGATAATTCAAATCCATCAGTTTAAGGCTCATTTCACGTCCCCAAATTACGGCCATGCAGAGATCTGCCACAATCCTCAGGATGATATTAACCAATACGTCGCCTCTTCTGTGTTTACACATAATCATTCATATTTTAAAGTCACTGGCTTCACTGTTGCCTGATTTAGAAATTTCTATTTTTATGCCACCTATTTCTTTTTTTCTTTTCTTTTTGTGGGTTTGGTTTCCATCCTGGTTTCTTTTCTACAAATTGTGTATCATCTGGTCGGATTTTGTTCTGCTTTGTAGATTGGTCTTGTTGGTTTTGTTTTTGTATCTCATGTTTCTTTTTTATCCCTTGTATTTCCCCTAATTGGTTTCCATGCTTATCCTTGCCTTGATAAGTCATCACATTAAGGTTAGATGCCACTTCTCTCAAATTTGTAGATAGTCCAGCTGGGGTATCCAATGAATCCAAAGGCAATTCATCTGGTACAGTCTCTGTAATTCGATATTTTACCTTTATTTCCAGCTCCTTCTGCTTATCCTGTATTATACCTGAAGATGTTAAGTTCATTTTCAACCTATTTTGATAAAATTCTTCCGCTCTTTCAACAGTATTTAACTGATATCTTTCTCCTTGGTATCTAAATATAATACCAACTGGGGCGTCCCACCTGAATGAGATATTTCTCTTTTTTAACTCATTCACCAGAAAACCAAATTTCTTCCTTTCCATCAATATCTTAGGTGGGAGTTCCTTGTAAATCCAAATCTTTCTTCCATACAATTGCAAATTAGAATTGAAGGAATTTTGCACGATATTATTCCTAATTTCTTTATCTGTAAAATAAATCACCACATCTCTAGGCAATTGCCTTTGCTTGGCAATCCAGGAGTTGATTCGATAAACTCTGTCAATCCTACAAAACACTTCGTCAGGTTGAACCTTTAGAATCCCAGCTAGAAATTCAGAAGATATTTTCCTTAAATCATCTCTATTATTTTCCTGCAAACCTCTTAATCTTATCGCATATTCTGTGAAATTATATTGTACCATTAAAATCTCTTTTTCAATCTTCTGTTGCAGATTTTCTGCATTACCATACTTTTGATCAGCATCCATTTTAGGTTTTTCTTCTAAGCTATTATCCTGAGTGTTTGTCAAGTCATTTTCAATTTTTTGAATTCTATTGTCCAATTTATCTTGAATTTCTTCCATTTTAGACTCTAGTACATTAGTATTTGTGTCCAACTGTATCATAAATTCTATAAAACCATTAGCCACTTTTGAGAGTTTTTTCTCCAAAAAATCAAACTTAGATTTCACCAATTCTTTAATTTCCTGCTTAAATTTTTCAAATTGCTGATTCACAATCTCCTCCCTTCTTTCAATCTCCTCTATAAAAAATTCTATTATATTAAAATCAGGTTTCTGAGACTGAAGAGTTAAGACTTGTTCCTTTAAGTTGTTGGTGGGGGAATTCCCCCCCCTTCTTGTTTATCTGACTTTATGAGTCTCAGTGCCATGTTTCCGCCCAGGCAGGCTTTGTTAAAAAAAAGCAAGAAAGACTTCTTTCCAATCAACAACAATATCAGGTCTCCAAGGGAAAAAAAAGAGAAAAAGACACAGGAGCGAAGTTTTGTCTACAAATGTAGCCAGTGGTATTTATTCCGCTACCTTGTAGTAATAAAAAACAGAAGAACTTTCCCTTTCAGCCTCTCCTCCAGCCGACGCCATTTTAAAAGGCTTTTTTTCCTCTTTCTTTTCCTCCTCTCTCTTAAGTAATTTCTTTTAAAAAATCAGTAAAATACTTGCGGTTCAGTATTACAGGTCCAGCTCACATTTTCTTTGAGTAGTCTGTTAAATTTGCAGGCTTGCTTTTGACGCCTAGCTCTGCATCAGCAGAGGTCTCCCAAAGCCCGGAGCAGCGGCTGGGGATACGGGGCATCTCATCCGCTCCGTCCCAAAAGTAAAGGAAAAACTTTTGGGACTCCGCAGAGAGTTCTACCCACCCCTGCCGGCTCTATCTCCGTTTCCTCATGGAAACGGAGTTTTTTCGAGCCGCCATTCCGTTGTGAAGGCGGCTCTGACAGGCGATGGAAGCTGACGATCCCAAAGGAACGTCTGGCAGCGACAAACAGTAAACCGGAAGTCACGATTTGATTTACATTTTGAATTGGGCTTTCTTTCATTGTACACAAAAATCCTTGTAAGGTTTATCATTTTGTTATTAATTTACTAATCATTTAAATCCTCCCATATTTTTACATTCCTAAAATCTATATCTGTTTATACTCCACTGTTTCGCAACCTTCAAAACTCCAAGTCATTTTCCAGGATTCCACTGACAGAGAATCTGTTTCTCCTTTGTTATCTTAGCTTCATCCCCTCATGTCCCGTGAACATTTATGAAGAAAGAAAAAGGCCAAATATGCTTACAACTCCAGCTGGCAATGCTACGGTTTTTAAAAAAAATTTGATTTATATTTATACGTTCACTGTGTGATAATGTTTAGTATTGTAAAGGCATTTTAATTTTTTAATACTTTTATTCTTTTTCAAATACATTTTGTCAGTGAATTTTGTAGATTAATATGTTACTTAAATATTGAGAATCTTCAGCAAATTTACCTACTTCTTTCTTTAACTGATCTGCAAAGGAAAGTACAAACATTTTACACACAGCGCACATTTCAAACTAAATAAGGATTTATCTTGCATGAAAAACAAGCAAGTCTGATTGAGTGGAGAAATGTAAAACTTTGGTTACGGAGGCTTACACTTTTCTGTGAAATATACAATATTTCACCAAATACAGGGATCTGCACAGCTTCTCTCCATCATTCTATCGGTTTGTAATTGTCACATAAAATTTGTCATATCTTTCCCTTATAACTAATTTAAGATCAAATTCTATACTTTTCCAGTTTGATTTATTTGGATTATATTTGTTTGCCCTTCTTTTAAAATGTCATTGGTTAAGGTGGTCAACCAGAAAGAGGGCTCCCTGTTTTTCCAGAGACAGATGCAGTGATGCTGATAGGCAGCCAGTCTCCTCTGATGAGGATCAGCTAACTACTCCACTGAATCCATGGGTAAGGAGAGTGGAGCATAGGCAAGAGAGGACTACTGGTTTGAAAGAGGTGTGAAAGAGACCGTCTACTGAATAGTCCTCTCTCAAAAGAGGACTGTAACAACAGTCTGTAACAACATCCTCTCAACAGTTTCAAAAAGGCTTCTCAGCCATTTGCACCACTCAGGTGACCCCAATGACACAGATAAACCTCTAGGTGGTCTTTATGACTCACTAAAAGAATGCAAATGACCAGCTGTCTGCAGGGAGTATAAATACTTCTGTACCCCACCATCCAGTCAGAACTGAAGGAGCTTCTTGGATGAAAATAAAAATGTCTTCAAAGAAGAACCAGAAAGTCCAGTTGCCTTTTTAGCACGTTTGGGACAACCATGATTTGATAACTAAGAATCTCCATAGACAACTACAAAAACATTTTATTCAGAAATATGCCATCATTCATAAATAAGTAACTAGCTCATTAAAATTCTATTAGAAATTGTATATCAGGTATATCATGTACATCTAACCCCCTATCCTACTGTGTCATTCAGTAGGATAGGGGGTTAGATGTACATTTATGAACAGAGGTGGGTTCTTTTGTGTATTATGGTTTGTGCTTATTCTGAAATAAAATGCCATATTTAATACACCTAATATGTCCATCTGATGCATTCATTTAATCAGATATTTACTAATCTAACTGATTATTTACAAACGATACACCAGACAGGAAATAAACACATTATGAATTTTGAAAGGGTTTCGACAAAAAAAATGGATGTTTTCTAACCTATTTAACAGAGGAGTAATATATTGTTATACTCATAACAGTGACTACATTTAATGCAAGCAGTAATTATAATTGTTTCATTTCTTCAATTGCAGGAACTTACCTGCATTTTTGCATGGATGGATAGTTGGGGTGCAGAATTTGGAAGAATTAATTTTGATTTAGGTTCTGATTTTATTTTATTTAATTTTATTTCTTTTTTGAAACCACCAATTGTGGTGAGGGGGATAGTTATACTGGTAATCATTTTAACACTTATCAAATATACAAAGTTATATGCATTTAATGTACCTGGGTTTGCTAACAAAAGTATGTTTGGCATATAATATTAAACACAATAGCTATTTAAACAAGAGTTAAAATGTAGTGATTACAATTGCTTTAAAACTTTTGTTTACTTCAATATCTTTGTATTTATTTTAATGCTAAATTTTTACATGCATTGGATACAATACTTTTAGTACAATATTTTTGAAATGATGCTTCAATAGGATAAACTCTAGCAAACATATTGGAGGAAACTTCCTATACATAATTCAAAAGTATGGGACCAAAAATTGGTGTTGAAACCCCATTAATAATAGGATGATAATAAAAAACAGATGGGATCGCCTTTGGAGATCGCCCTTTTTTTAATTGGGGATCTTATCCTGTTGACATAATTGACAAGTAAAGTCTGAATAGAGGCTTCTATATCTATATAAACAGGTGTGTGTGTGTGTGTGTGTGTGTGTGTGTGTGTACTACAAATATATCCTATAATACTCCTTACTGATTAACCATGACCCTAACTCTGATGTCACTTCAGCTCTATTCAGCATTTCTCAAACATTTCCCACTCTACAAATCCAATCTTTTCCTTTTCTTTTCCAAAGAAAATATTCAAGGGTCTATAGGATCCTCTCCTTACTTATTTTTCTTCTTTTTCTTTAAATACTTTGCATTTTCTGCAAGCCTTTAATTTCCTTACTAAATGCTAAGATATTCTCTTGTTTTCCTGACAATCCTGACTGAATTCACAACTGAGTTTATTATACATTAACAATATGCACAATATCTTTTCCTTTGCAATAAAAGGCACACCCAACTATTACAAATAGGAAAGCTGAGATGCAAGTAAAATAAAGTAGTAGTTCTTCAAGTAAAATGAAATTGATGAATTGCCTGAAAAGCAGATGACAAAGAATGAGTCAATGAGTTGAACAAAATAGTTCTAAAAATTGTTCTTGTTCTTCATGGCCAGCTAAAAATCTTAACAATATACCAGTCTTTAAGTTTTATTATCTTTTATTTGATGAGGACAGTTGTTGTAGCACGGGAATAATGAGAGGCACAAGCAAGCTAGTGACAACAGCTCTTTAATTCAGGGTGAGACTTCAGCAAAGAAACACAGGCAACAGTCCTCTTTATATACTTTTCAGAGGCAGCCATGAACCAATCAGAATTCACTGAACATTTGAATTTCCCGCACAAAATAGATACATACATAACACCCCTCCACTCCCAGAAGGCACTTATCCTATCTATTTACATATTTACATACAAAATCACGCAGGTGACCAGGGCGTGTCTTAGTTCTGGTTGACCTGCGCAGTTCAGTTGTTGGCGAGGCATCGAGCCGGTCAGAGGGACCTCCTGTCTCTCCTGTCTCCGCCAATGGAACCTCCTGGATTTCTCCGGAGGTGTGGCTATCCCCGGCTGGAAGTGTCAATTCGCTGGGGCGGCGCTGGAACTCTGGGCTGCCAGATAAATATTCTGGCTTATTCGGGCTTGAGGTAGCTGTGTCAGGAAAACTTTGGTAGTTAGGGCTCACAATGATTGAGGTTTCATGTTGTAATCATCTACGCAATTGTTCTATATGTCTCCTCCAAATTTTACCATGCCATATATATCGACTGTATATGATTTTTGGACCGATAATTCCTATGATGGTTCCCTCTACCCACAATGGCCCGTTGGTGTAGTTTCTGGCAAATACTGGTGTTCCCACTTGGAATTGTCTTAGTCCTCCCCCTTCCCCTTTGAAGCTATCGGGGGAGTAATTGGGATGCAATCGATCGAGAATGCACCTTAGCTTTCGACCCATTAAAAGCTCGGCTGGGCTGCAGCCCGAGGTGGGGCACGGGGTAGCATGCTGCACAGCTAAGAACTCATCTATCCTAGCCTGCCAGTCCCCTGCATCGAGCCAGGAAAATGCTTCCTTGGCCATTCTCACAAATCTCTCCGCAAGGCCATTCAAAGCTGGATGAAAAGGAGCAGATAAAGCATGTCTAATGCCTAACTTGGCCAGGTAGCCCTTGAATTGAGTCACCATGAATTGGGGCCCATTGTCAGCTACCAGGGTGTCCAGCAACCCATGTATTATAAACAGTTTTCTGAGTACTTTGATTACGGCCTCAGAAGTTGTAGATGGCAGTAGAGCAATCTCTAGCCACTTAGAATATGCATCTACAATGATTAGAAAGTTCTGGCCATGGAATGGGCCAGCGAAATCGATGTGAATCCTCCCCCATGGCCCCTTTGGTTTTTACCATTCCCGAACGGGAGCTATAGGAGGATCTGGGCGGGATTCCTGGCAGGGCCTGCACTTCCCCACCCACTCAGTGACGTCTTGGTCGAGATGTGGCCACCAAACATAACTATGAGCTAGGCCTTTCATGCGAACAATACCAGGGTGTCCCTCATGCAGCATTTCTAAAACCCTGTGCCTTAACCGCGAAGAGATGACAACCCTGTCACCCCACAATAAGCAACCCCCCAACATTGAAAGTTCATTTTTCTTGTTAAAGTACAATTGAAAATCCCCACTGTCCACCTTTGTAGGCCAACCCCGCATTACCCAGCCCATTACAGTGTGCAAAACAGAGTCCCTGGCAGAAGCCCTTGCCACCTCGCTTGAAGAAATGGGGCCCGGGGACACAACGTCAATGAGTAAAACTGGGGCTTCTGGAGTCGGGTTGTCCAACAGTTCGGGCAAGGGGCATCGGCTGAGGGCATCAGCATGTCCCAGAGTTCTGCCCGGTCAGTGGAGCAGTCTGTAGGAATAGACAGCTAAGAAAATGGACCATCTGGTCATCTGAGGAGAAAGAGCAGCCGGGGTCAGTTTATCTCCAGCCAAAAGTCCCAAAAGAGGCTGGTGATCCGTAATAAGTTCAAAGGTTCGGCCAAATAAGTACTCGTGAAACTTTTTGACCCCAGCTACAGCTACTAATGCCTCCCTGTCGAGCTGGCTGTAGTTCCTTTCTTCACTAGATAAAGTGCGAGAGTAATAAGCGATGGGCACCTCTAACCCATTCGGCAGTCTATGGCTTAACACTGTGCCTACGCCAAAGGGGGAAGTGTCATACACTAATACTAGGGGCAGTTCTGAATTGTATTGAATGAGGAAGCTGTCTCAGACAAAAGTTTCTTTACAGCATTGAATGCAGCTGCTTCTCGTTTGCCCCACACCCAGGGAACGTTTTTTCCTAGGAGCCTGTGCAGTGGCTCCGCAATGGTGGCTTTGTCTTTTAAAAACATGGTGTAGAAATTGAGAAGCCCCAAGAAGGCCTGCAGTTCAGCTTCGATCTAGGGGTGGGTGCGTTCTGGATGGCCCTGACCTTGCTTTCTGTGGGATGAATGCCTGTGCCATCGATTCTGTAGCCTAAGAATTCTACCGATGGAACCGCTATTTTGCATTTAGCTCATTTAAGTTTGAGTCCCGCTTCTCTGAATCTGGTTAGGACTTGTCTAACCCTATTTCCTAGCTGTGTCTCGTCTTGGCCACTAATTAGAACGTCGTCGAAATACGGGATGACTCCTGGGAGGCCTTGTAGAAGGCGCTCCATGGTACTCTGGAAGAGCCCTGGGGCGATGCTAACCCCAAACTGTAGTCTAGTGCATTTAAAGGCACCTCTGTGAGTTACTATGGTCTGCAATTCTGCCGTAGCGTCATCTACTGGCAACTGTTGCTACGCCTGCGCAAGGTCTAATTTTGCGAATAGCTTGCCAGGCCCCAGGGAGTGTAGTAGATGGAGGATGATCAGAACGGGATAGGCGCTCTGCTGCAACGCCTTATTTATCGAACACTTGTAGTCAGTGAAAATTCTAATTGACCCGTCTGATTTAACTGGCATGACTATTGGGGTTTCTCATTTAGCATGATCTACGGGAACTAACACCCCTTGCTTAATGAGCTTGTCGAGCTCTGCATCAATTTTGGGCTTCAAAGCAAATGGAACCCGTCTTGCCTTTAGTCTGATTGGCACTACGTTGGGGTCTAAATTAAAGGAGATATGGGTCCCCACATACTTGCCTAGAGTCTCCTCAAAAACGTCCCGAAACTCGTGGAGAAGGGTTTCTTTGAGGGATGGTCCACCAATGCTGTGGACGCCCATGAAGCCCATGCCGAGGGCTCGGAACTAGGCCATGCCCAGGAGACTTGGTAGCAGCTTGCTTACGATGGTCAGGGGTAGCTCTTTCTGGAACTCGCCATAGGTGACCCGGAACGTGCCCACATCTTCTACAGGAACTCGGTTTCCCTGGTCGTCGAGGAGGTGAACTTTTTGTCGAGACAGCTGGGCTTTCTGGAACTTAGGCAGGAGCGTTTTGAGTGTTGTCCAGGACATAATTGAAAGTGTAGACCCGGTGTCAATTTCCATTTCGCATGATTTGCCTTTGATTTCTACTTTCGTGTAGACCTTCTCGTCGTCTGTTGTGCTGGCTTGGCCAATTCCCATGCTGTAGGTCTCCCGCTTTTGATTCTCACACCGTTTTCTCGCACCATCATCTTTGTTTGGCTGTTTTGAACGAGCTGATTCTGGTTGGTCACGGTAGTCACATGGCTTGCGGCTACGTGGAAATTGAGCTCTGCAAACTCATACTAAGTGGCCTTTCCTGTCGCAACACCTGCAAGTGGCGTCTCTGTATTTACACGATTGTCTCTCGTGATCCCCGCCACAGCTAGAACAGTTCTCGTGGCGGCAGCTTTGCTAACTCTTTTTCTTCTCCGTGTGGAAGACATCCTCATCCGACTCTTCCTCCGTGCTGGTTCACGCCTCCTCTCTGTGGACGGGGGCTGTTTTCGGGGCATCTTTGCCTGGCAGTGGCCGCTGTAGCACTTCAGAAGCCTTCGTTGATGCCTCGTGTGCTCAGGCTTCGTCAAGCGTGCCGGCTAGCGTTAGATCTGGCTTGGCCAGAAGGCGCCTTTGTAAACGAGTGTCTCTAACACCACAAATCAATTGCTCGAGTAACGCATCGTTGAGGTCTCTGTAGTCACAATGTGTTGCGGCTTTTCGAAGTGCGGCCACATATGCACTGACCGGTTCTCCTTCCCTTTGTACACGTTGCCAGAGCTCGTAGCACTATACAAATTTCGAAGGAACTGGAGCGTAGTGGGCTCTCAAGTTTGCTTGAAGTACGTCTCAGGGAACCGTCTGGACTGGGGTTGGCTTGCAGAGGGACTTGGCCATCTTGAATATGTCTGGCCCGCAGTGGCTTAAGAACAGGGCTCTTTTTCGGTTCGCGGAGAGCCCCTGCATCTCGCTTGCTTCCAGGGAGCATTCGAACCTGGTTAGATACGATCCCCACTTCTCTCGGGTCGGATCGAAAGGTTTGGGCGGGACGTAGGCAGACATCGCAATATGTCTCCGTAGTCCATTCGTTACCCTGGCTGGAAGTCAGAGCTCTTTTTGAATTGCTTCTTGTGGCCTCTATCCCACCTTCGCCGCCAATGTTGTAGCGCGGGAATAACGAGAAGCACAAGCAAGCTAGTGACAACAGCTCTTTAATTCAGGGTGAGACTTCAGCAAAGAAACACAGGCAACAGTTCTCTTTATATACTTTTCAGAGGCAGCCATGAACCAATCAGAATTCACTGAACATTTGAATTTCCCGCACAAAATAGATACATACATAACAACAGTATTTTCTCCCATGTTTAAAATACTCAGGCAATGGTGTTGGTGGTCTAAACACAAATGGTGTTAATATTAACATTATAAAGAAAAAGATATGGGCAATTCCAGGGAACTTTGGTCTTGGCAGCTGTGCAATCATATGAAGCTAGAGCTCCATATCAGCTATAAATTCAGCCTACTAATTTAAAAAAAAAATCAAAAAAACTAGAACAGGTTCAGAAAATGGCAAGAAAGATGATCAGGGGACTGGAAACTACAAGAGGAATTGGTGTCACATTTACTTTAAAAGAATGGGAGTAGAATATGGGAGCACTTTTCTTTAGCGGTAATACAGAACAGATTCCAAATAGGCTCTGTACCATATAAAGTATATGGCTTTATGCTTCACAAGACTTCTGAGTTACAAAAAAAGAAATTCTAATTAAATGCAAGGAATAACTTCCTAACAGTAAGAGCAGTAACATCTCTCATATTTGAAAATGATTTAGTAAATGATACTAAATTGGATGCAGTCACGTATAGTTTCCATATCTGTTATTGTGGAAAATATGAACTAAGTAAATCTGGAAGTTTCAAGTCAAATTTATTTCAATTGACCAAATTTAGCCATGTGTTTAATATTTTTCTTGAACATAGCAGGATAGAGAAATGATTAGCCTTTGCTAGATTACATCTTTATGATTTTTTTAATATTGAAAAAACATGAAGTTAATTACTCTTTTCCTAAGGAAACCTAAAAACTAATTGATAATACTGTATATTCCATCTTTTTTATGTAATTAAACAAACAATTTCAACTATGTATTCAGTATTATGTTAACTGCAACATTTAATTGTATAATGTTCCAATTCAGTTCCACATAATTTGGAAGAGGAACAAGAAATTAATAAAGCAGTTTGTTTAATTTATTAAACTACAACATCGGTTTAAAATAATTTATCCTCACTTTTGAAAACCCTGCAAATTTATTTTAAATTGTACCTTTTTAAATGGCAAAAAATAGCATACCTTCCATCGAAGAAAGCTGGAAATGTCCTGTTTATTCAAATAAGAACTGAATTTGATCTTTGTATTCTTATTATTTCAAGAAGTATAAAACATACAGAAAATGAAAGATAACACTGCACTTTGGCAAGATAACAAGAGACATAAGTTACATATTAACCACAAAGGTAATTATAACTAAAATCTCTTCCTCCCCCCTCAAATAAGGAATAATAGAAAATGGTCAATTATATTTATACTCAAATTTATTTCTTCCCATTTGTTGTTGTTATTTGCGAAGTCATGTCCGACCATCACAACCCCATGGACAACATTTCTCCAGGCCTTCCTGTCCTCTACCATCCTCTGGAGTCCATTTATGCTCACGTCTACTGCTTCAATGACTCCATCCAGCCACCTCATTCTCTGTCGTCCCTTTCTTCTTTTGCCCTCAATCTTTCCCAGCATTAGACACTTCTTCAGTGAGTCCTTCCTTCTCATTAGGTGGCCAAAATATTTGAGTTTCATCTCCAGAATCTGGCCTTCTAAAGAGCAGTCAGTATTGCTATCCTCTAGGACTGATCAGTTTGATTGCCTTGCAGTCCAAAGGACTCACAGAAGATTTCTCCAGCACCATAGTTCAAAGGCCTCAATTCTTTGACACTCAGCCTTTCTTATGGTCCAACTTTCACTGTCATACATTGCAACTGGGAAAACTGGACACACTTTTGTTGGCAGTTTGATGTCTCTGCTTTTTAATAAGCTATCTAGATTTGCCATAGCTTTTGTCCCCAGGAGTCTTTTAATTTCTTGGCTGCAGTCCCCATCTTGAAGCCCATAAAAATGCAATCTGTCATTACCTCCATTTCTTCCCCCATCTATTTGCCAGGAATTGAGATGGCCGGATGCCATGATCTTAGTTTTCTTAATGTTGAGTTTCAAGCCAACTTTTGCACTCGCCTTCTTCACCCGCATCAAGAGGCTCTTTAGTTCCTTTTCACTTTCTGCCGTTAGAGTGGTATCATCTGCATATCTGAGGTTGTTGATATTTCTCCCGGCAATCTTAATTCCAACTTTTTATTCATCTAGCCCTGCCTTTCTCATGATGTGTTCTACATATAAGTTAAATAGCCAGGGTGACAGTATATAGCCTTGCCAGACTCATTTCTCAATTTTGAACCAGTCAGTGGTTCCATGTCCAGTTCTCACTGCTGCTTCTTGATCCGCCTATAGGTTTCTCAAGAGATAAATAAGTTGGTCTGGTACTCCCATCTCTTTAAGAACTTACCACAATTTCTTGTGATCCACATAATCAAAGGCTTTAGCATAGTTAATGAAGAAGAAGTAGATGTTTTTCTGGAACTACTAGCTTTTTCCATGATCCAGCATATGTTGGCAATTTGACCTCTAGTTCCTCTGTCTCTTTGAAATCCTGCCTGTACTTCTGCTACAGGGGTGGGTTTTAAAATTCTTTACTACCGGTTCTGTGGGCGTGGCTTATTTTGTGGGCATGGCTTGGAGGTCATGTGACTGGGTGGGCGTGGGCCCTCGCACTTTTGACTGGTCCTCACACTTATGACCATCCTCACATTTATGCCCGTGCAGCATTCTTAACAACCATGTCACTCATTTCACAACTGCTTCCCTTCACCATGGTAACAAGATAGGGTGAAAAACGTAAAATGTGAGGACAGTCGTAAGTTCGAGGACTGATCAAAAGTGTGAGGACCAGTCAAAAATAATTTTTTCAGCCCTCTGAGTAGTCCATATGCACAAAAGGAATACCCAGAGGGCTGAAAAAAGTGATTTCTGAGAGGTCTTCACACTTTTGACCGGTCCTCGCACTTATGACTGGTCATCATTTATGCCCATTGTAGCATTCTTAACAACCGTGTCACTCATTTCACAACTGCTTCTTTTCACCATGATGACAAGATAAGGCGAAAAACGTAAAATGTGAGGACAGTCATAAGTTCAAGGACTGATCAAAAGTGCAAGGACCAGTAAAAAATAACTCTTTCAGCACTCTGAGTAATCCATATGCACAAAAGGATACAGCAATAGAGAGGGATGAAGGAAGGAGAAGAGAGGGAAGGAAGAGAAGGGAGGAAGGAAGGGAAAGGAAATTAGAGTAGGAGTGAGGGTAAGAGAGAAGGAAGAGAGGAGGAGAAGGAGAAAGGAAGAGGAAGTAGGGAGGAGAAGAAGGGGGGAAGAGAAAGTAAGAAAGAAAGAAAGAAAAGAGAGAGGTGCTAGGTTTGAGGAGAAAGATTGCTGTACAATAAAAAAGATGAAAGGGAAGAAAGGCAATCCCAAACAAATATAAAGATATTAAGATAAAGAATGAATCGTTAAACTTTAAAGAATAAAGGAGAATAAATATGAATAAATAGCAATAATTAGAAACACAAATACAATGTATTTTCTTTGAACAGAGTATTTGGCTGGTTCACAAATTTAAACAGTGTTTAGTCATTTCAATTACATTTACAATTTCTATATTTCC